CTCTCTCTCTCTCTCTCTCTCTCTCTCTCTCTCTCTCTCCTCCTTCCCTTCCCCTTCCCCCCCTTCCCCCCCCCCCTTTCCCGTTCACCTACCTTTCCTCTACCGGCAGCCGGCTACCGCTCTTTTCCGTCTTTTGTCTCATCTGCATTGCGTTGAGCGCTTTTTATACCTTTCTTGTCAACATCGTTTTGTGTGTTTGCACTTGTTTCTTGCCTTCTGCGTATAATCTCCTCCACATTCAAGATGTACATTCCTGTAGGAACCGTGCCATCCAGCCTGGATCAGCTGGTGGGCGATCTCGAGCGGCGTCAGGCCCGAGGGGGCGCTGCCAGTGTCAAGTCCGTCTCGACCAACAACTCTGGCGCCAACTCTGTGCAGTCCAACAACACCAACTCTACCAGAGGCCGCGGCCGTGCTCCCGCTCCGGCCGTGCCGGCGCCGCGGGTTCCTGTCGGCCAGCAACCTCGGAGCATCGACGATCTAATGTCCGATCTCGAAACCAGACAGATCCGAGGTGGCGCCGCGAGCGTTTCGTCGGCTTCCTCCAACGGTGCCCAGTCGGTCCAATCCAACAACACCAACTCGACTAGGGGAGGTGGTCGTGCCCAGCCTGCACCTGCACCTCGAGTTCCCATTGGCCAGCAGCCCCGGAGCATCGACGAGCTCGTTGCGGACCTCGAGACGAGGCAGATCCGTGGTGACGCCGCCAGCGTCGCTTCCGCTTCGACTGGTGGCGCCCAGTCGGTCCAGTCCGCCAACACCAACTCCACCGGGGGCGTTCGTAGGCCCGCGCCGCCGGCCCGCATCCCCGTGGGCTCTCGGCCTCGTAGCATCGACGAGCTCCTCTCCGACCTCGAGCGGCGCCAGGTCAGGGGTGGAGGCGCAGCGAGCGTGTCTTCTGTATCGACAAATGGCCGCTCCGTCCAGTCCGCCAACACGAACTCGACCCGCGGTGCCCGTCAGCCCGTACCGCCGCCGGCCCAGCCCGTACTGCCGCCGGCCCTGCCCGTACCGCCGCCGGCCCTGCCCGCACCGCCGCCGGCCCTGCCCGCACCGCCACCGGCCCTGCCCACACCGCCGCCGGCCCGGATCCCCATCGGGGCTCAGCCGCGCAGCCTGGCCGAACTCGTGGGCGACCTCGAGCGGCGCCAGGTGGCCGGCGGCGACGCCGCCAGCGTGTCGTCCGTCTCGACCAAGAAATCCAACAAGGCCAAGTCGGTCAAGACCACCGAGCAGTCCTCGGGCGCCGCGCCCGCGCCCACGCCCACTTCGTCCGCCCTGCCGCAGCCCCCTGCAGCCGAGACCACGTCGTCGGCGCCCGCCATCGCGACCACTTCGTCCGCCCTGCCGCAGCCCCCTACAGCCGAGCCCACGTCGTCGGCGCCCGCCATCGCGACCACCCCCGCGGTCAACCCGGCGCCTCCCGCCTCCAGCAGCAGCCCCACCGCGTCGAGCGCGAACCCGGTCCAGAACCCCGCGGTGCCGCTTTCGTCGACTGCCATCCCTGTGGAGGCGTCGCCTTCTCCAACTACGCTCCTGACCCGCGTTTCGTCGTCGCCCGGCGGCGGCGACGACGGCCGCACCGCCCTGCCCGACCTGGGGGCTGTCCTCCTCCTCGACCGCCCTGCCCGACCTGGGGCTGTCCTCCTCCTCGACCGCCTCGACGGGCCCCGTCGTGACGGTCCTGCCGCCCGCCAGCGAACTCCCCAGCGTCCCGCCGCCCCCGGGCGGCTCGGCCAACAGCGAGATGGGGCTGCAGGGCGGCGGCGGCGGCGCGCCCATGGGGACGAGCGCCATGGTCGGCGTCATCTTCGGCTCCGTCCTCAGCCTCGCCGTCGTCGCCGCCTTCCTCTTCGTCTGCTGCGTCCGCAGGCGCCGCGCCAAGTCCGAGCGCGAGTCCCGGCTGGCCATGGCCGCGCCCGCGCCCGCGGCCCAGTACCCGGACGAGAAGGGGGCCGCCCCCGCCGCCGTCGGCAAGAGGCCCGTCAGCGACTGGGAGGACCGCCTGTACG